ATGAACACTCCCTCACTTAATGCAAAGTTTGAAAAAGTTTTTTGTCTTTTTACTGTTTTTATTGCTGTTTATGATTCTTGATAGACATTGCTGCTACTTATTTTGTTTTTATGGACCTTTTTCATCACTTCATTGCAGTTATATATTTGTGTCCTTCTCGCCCATTGAATGTGAACTCATTGTTGTGAAAAAGTTTAATGCTCAGTCAGTCTTCCCTGAATAAACAATGGCTGATGAAGTTTTTTCAAACACCTCGGCTCTCTAAAGAAACCATCAACACTTCAAAATTTAAAAGACTGAAAAATAGATTTTATTCCGGAGGTTATTCAGAGTTTATTCATCATTACTCAATAATATTTATTTTTCATGCAATAAAAGAAATTCACCCTTACCCTCGTTTTAAGATCGACCAACAACCGTTTTCAATTTCTCAATTTAATTTCTGTTTGAATAATAGTTTTTACTGAGAATACCAACAAAAGTTGCCTGACAGTTATTAACAAAAGCTGCAAAACTCATTGAGTGTTGATAAAAAGAGGTGACCTTGCTCCAAATAATCTTTGTAGAAACATTTCCAGTGTGTTCAGTCCCAAGAGCACTGTGAACGTTCAGCTTTTAAACTCTGGGTGGCAGTGTTGATGCAACGACAAGTTACGCGGCTTTGGAGAGGAAATCCACTCCTTCTCTTCTCACACTGACCAGAACAGATTAATAGTTTATTTATTTTTCTGTCCTGCAGGTAGTTCAGATAGTCTTTGGTTTTATATTAAATATTTACATTTACATTTGAATCCCTGTTTGCAACCACTGCACTTAATAATAACATAATAATAATAATCATCAAATTTAAAAACCCTGTGTGTTGTGTATCTAAGTCTGAGCAGCTCCATATCCCTCACTATCCACATTCATATATATATCATATTGATGTATTCAATGTAAATGTACAGTTTATATTCAGTTATACGGATTTAGACTTAAAGACTTAAATATGTTCTGATAAATTACATTAATTTAAACATAGCTTAAATAATAGGAATTGTTCTTCACAAGTTTAAGACAGTTTTTAAAAACACTAATTAAATTAACTAAAATCCATTTTAATTCTATATTTAGAACTTAAATACAATAATAATATTAAATGTCAGACAAAAGCTGCCCTGGCCATTTTTAAATTGTAGTTTTGACCGTCTATATGAAATATTATTGAATTATATAGTGGTTTGTTTTATTTTATTATGATTATTAAACATTATTAAAAATGTAATTACACAAGAAATTCCCAAAATCTTAATAAATGTATGTGTCTCATTATATAAAAATTAAAACACACCAATGTTGTGATAAATTAATGGTAAATTGATATTATAAAATAATAATAGTAATGGTTATACAGAGAAATTAATTGCGGTAATTCTATTGAATTAATGCTTCACATGCAGCCGTACGTATGCAAATTCTATTGAAAAAAATGTTTTTTTAATTATTGTGAAACCATTACTCTATGATATATAATATCATCAACATATCGTGTAATCATTATACGGTTATTACTGTTATTTGTATAAACACATACACACAAAGAAAAATGTTGATATGGCATTTTGAAAGATGCTAATGCCAAATAATTTTAAAAGAGCGCGTAGCTAACTTGAAATACTGCTCACATCGTGCATTAATTTATAATAATAGTGGACTGTATGCTGCAATTTTTAAAACATGTCTAAGCTAAAAATCAATTTCTCCTCAGTGCATCTAATGTGCATTTTTAAGGGTGACTTTAGAGTATATTTCGAGTTGTGTTTACTGTATGTTACTGTAAAGCTGCGCCGCTCTGAGGGACTGTATAGGTACAGTGCTTATGTTGGATTACAGAGTCGCAGAGGAACATGAGAGGATTTATGCCACGTTCAGACATCTCTGCTTTGCATTACAAATATTTTATTACTGTGCAGCCATTATAACATAGCGTGGCAGAAAGATCTCTGTGGGCAGTATTAATATCATTTCTTCAACATCTTTCACTTCTCTTCTGGCTCAAGTCAATATTGAGCTTGTATGGAACTCATTATGGTGAAGAGGGGCGGGGGGGCGGGAAGCTGCTCTCTCAGTGCCTCGCCGTTTTGTTCCATCTGTGTTGTAGTCACCTGAACACGATCTGAAGTCAGCCAGTCAAGTGACCTGGAATCAATACAGTCGAACTCGGTGGAGGCAAATAAATCAGCCTGGCTCGTTTAACCCATGAGAGTCCTGCTGCTCTGCTACAGCGGTGCGGCATGTAATAAGAAAGGCATGCTTGATGACAAATAATTTATTCTAGAGTCTTGTTTCTCGTCCAGCTTTAGTGACTCCATACTTTACATCCAGGAGGCATCTCTCACCAGGCGTGTTCCTTGTGTACTGTAAATCCTGAGCACATCTGAGAGCTTTTATCGTCTGCCCCTCGATGTCCATCACTTTCTTTATACAAAAAAAATTGACATTTTTGTGTACATTGGAAATTTTCATCCTGCTTCCTCTCCGGGTGTCTTTGTATTTCAAACAAAGCATATCTGTAATTTCTACAGCTGCTCCAGTGTGTCCCTGTGGCATCTGTCTCTAGTCCTGTCATATAAAAACCAGCCTGTGTTTTATTCTTTACCCATCATAACTCTGTAAAGAAACGGGAATTTTACCACCAGCTTCTGGAGCAGGAAATCGGTTTCATACTGCTCTTCGGAAATTTAAAAAATATGCCCATGGCTTTGCGAGATGCACGATAAATTCAGATGTCGTTTCGTGCCAGTCGACGCTGACAACTTGGACCGTTTTGGAAAAGAGTAATCCTATTAAAAACAGCAGAAAACTCATTTGACTTGAATGTGTTATGATTACTAATAAGCATATTTATTTTAACGTATAGCGTTTTTATTGATTGTTTGAAAATGATTGCCAGTAATGTTGCTGCCAGACTCGGTTGCGCCAACTTAAATCAACTTAGTGCAAACACAGCTCAATTGAAATGATTTCTGAAGATTAATTGTGACAAGTCTCAATGTGTTTTTGAGCCAACATCACATCAACTGATTATGGTTTTATGGTGATTCATGGACAGGAGGGAAAAGTTTTGCATTCAGGAGGAAGTTACATTTCACTTCAGGTTTGGCTCTGTTATTGGAAAATAACTGCTGTTCAGGTCGACCTAATTGACAACAAGGCCTGCTCGGTCACATGATGCCTCCCCTTGTGATGCATGAACGCTGCTTCACTGATCTGCGTTTAGCTTCAAGATGTCAAATAAATCAAGTGAATATATTTCCACAGCACCTCTGGCTCCACTCATCAGATTAAAATGAAATTCATTATGTTGCACTTTTACATATGCAAATATCAGCATTGTGTGCCACGCAAAGACGAATCAATGCTGCCATTACTTATTGATTACACTGTTAGATTTCAATTCATTTTCATGTAATGAAACAGACATCCCAGCTCAGATATAAACCTTTAATGGACCACTTAAGCAACAGCGTGAAAACTTTTCTTTTTAATGCATCCTGCCATGTCAGGAAGCCGACCTAACAATTCTTTTGAAGAGCTCAATGGCTGTTTTTAAGTGAGTGGATGCAAACTCAGCTACAATGCAGACTATTAAATTCAATTAAAGAATGAATTGTAACTCCTTCTCATATTTTTCTGACCTCACTTTAATACCAGACTGCACTCTTTAATCAGACTGCACTATTTTACAACAGGAATAGAGTGCCATAACCATGAGCAGTCCTCATTGTTTGTAGTAATGGTCTCCAATCTGCAGCCTCATAGTTTTTTCTTCACTGGCAAGACACTTAGGTTAAGCTCCAAAATTAACTCACTGTGAAACTTGGGAAAAAAAAGTTAAGTAGCAATCTATTTGAAAGACCTATAAAATTAATCAAATATTAAATATGATGTTTTTGCCTGTGTAAAAACACACAGCTGACATATATGTAACTGGCATTATTCTGATTTAAATATGACATAAATCATAGCCTGCATCTCACTTTTAAAGTAGTTTCAATTCTGTGACAACAAAGCTACATGCAGTTCTATGTGCTGAATGTACTGTTGTTAGTGTGAGTGTTGGGGCTTGTGTTTTAACATGCCAAACAGTTCAAAAATAAGGTTTTAATTAATTTAATCTGTGCTATGGGCTAATAATGTAGACTATAAACGTAAATTATTCGGATAGGCACGTAAATCAATTCTTAAAGAATATAAAACGTCTTATGTTCAGTTGGATAGAAGGCAAATGGCTAATAATCGTATTTTATTGGAGTGTATAACTGTAATAAAATTTGCAAACTGCCATTTTTGCACATGTGCATCCATTTTCCTAGAGAAAAACAAACAAACAACAACAAAAAACATCATATAGTGTGATGGAAGTCTAAGTGGATGGCTGTGACGTAATAACCAATTAAAGTATAAATACTGGCGGCAAAAATGCAAAACAAAACTTACTTTAATTGTCCTCCCGTGCCTCCCGTCACCTGTTACAGCGCCCAAACTCCCACAGCAGCAGCCTCCCGGTGAACCCTGCGGCCACGTCGGAGCTTTTGTCTGACAAAAGAATGAGCAGTATTTCCTTACCGAGCGGTGTGGCGGTGAGAATAAGTCGCTCTATCTTTTATAAATGCCCCACATGGTCCCCAAACACTTAATTATCGCTAGGTAAGGCAGTGTGGACTGTCCTCCTCTCGGTGATTGACAGCGGGGTGAGGTGAAGTGGCTCCGGAGGGGTTCACGGACCCTCTTGGCGAGCGGCAGCGTCGATAGTTTAAATATGTTAGACTAAAATCATTAAATATATACGTGAAGTTGTTGCTTGTGTGCTATGAACTGATGAGTGGGAGAATGTAGCGCTGAAATGCGTAGCTGTGTTTCTGTGTTTCTCCGTGCCCCCCTCTGTCTGTCGTTTTTTTGGTTTCGCCCAAACTTGGTTCAGATTTGAGTTGGTTTTCTCTGCTATCTGGGATCGCTCTATTGGAGGTGAAGGACCGCCTGTCCCCTCTCTGCCTGGGCTGTCAATGGCTTTCGGGACGTGTTTTATTTGAATGTCTGGGCGATATAAGTGACCAATAATGGATATTCTATGGATATTATGGACCATACCGGCCGTAATAGCTGTTGAAGGTAAGCTAATGTTTCCATCCTCAACGGTTAAAAGCCGCATCTTGTTGCCGGCTTTGAGTTTGAGACAAAGCGCGTGAGCGGACAGTTGGTTTATTTTTACCACAGGAAGCTAAAAAATAAACCACTTTTAATCTCCGTTGATAATAATAATGATGTGGCGTAACATGGCGTTTACAGTGCAGAGACTCAGCTCAAAGCAGCGGGTAAGGGATGATGGTGGGACACAAAAACATGCCCCAGCATCCCCGCAGGTACACGGATGCTGCTGAGCGTCGCTAGCGTTAATTAGGATGTAAAATTAGCAAAAGCTAGCTAGGTCAGGATAGGAAACATCACATCTCTGTCACCCAGGTCGCATCCCGAGTGTCCGTGGAGGTGTGTCACCGGGTTCATCTCAGTTTGTGATACAAATGTGGCACACAAACATCCCCTTTAACCCTTTCTTTAGCATATCCAAGACAAAATGAGCATTTATATATTCTTAAAATCATCATAATTGAAGTTATAAAAGACTGAGTCTGGTCCTCATGCAGGCATTTGTAGGCAAAGCTTGGCTAAGCAGTAAAAGGCAGCAGGCAGCGTGGCTCAAAGCACAATGACACAGGTTGAATGGTGAAAATAATCTCTATAATATGTGTTTACAGCAGCATGTCTGTGATGCACAAAAGCAACTCAGTGCTAGTGTTATCATGCTTATTGTTGCAATATTAAAATATAAAAGAACTCTAGCACTTGAAGGGACTATCTCACTGACATTTGACCTTTAATCCTTTAAAAATTAGTTTGAGATTATGAAGGATATCTTTCTTTTGAAGCAGAGCGTATCAGTCTGTGCTTTGAATTTTAATTTGCAGGTGATTTAGTGAAGCCACACTCATTATCCCCCCGTGACTTGACAGGAGACATCTGCCACAGTGAAGAATGGAAAGTGTCACCCCAGTCATACATTTATTCTGGCTATTTTTAGGACGCTGTCAGAAAACAAACATGTCTTCTTCCGCTGGTCAGTTTAACTAAACCTCATAATTGCAGGTGGAGCCCGGGAAACTATGTAGAAACTCAACTAAATGTGACCACGGGATAAAACAACAACAAAAAAGAGAAACAGGGGAAGAACGTTCAGCCGAGTGTTTACTGTAAAATCATTTGTATGTGTGTAGGGACATCAGAAAGTTGCACAGCGAAGGTCGAAGGACCTGTCAGGTCGGATAAAGGACTGGCACAGACTTTGACAAACGTCATGCGTATTTATGCAGACTTGTACTGACTGCTGCTGTTTAGGGTTTCAGTGTAGGTACATATCCAAGAACTAACAAAGAGATCTGAAAGGCGGGCTTTATATTTCACATGGGCAGCTTTAAAAATTGTGTCAAAGCTGTTGAATTTAATTTTAGGTTTAGTCACTCGACATCGTTCCAGGACAACCTATTATTTTGGGAAATCATATGTACATGTTTAAATTACACCATATAAATACAGGGAACAATGTGCACATTTCATACAATCCGCAAATTGTATTTTTATTTGAATGTATTCAAAATATTTTTTGTAATATATATTTTTTCTCTGTCGTATCTTAGATCATTTCACAAGCATAATACAAAAATCAGATGCATTAATATTAAAACAACATAAAATATACTGTCATGTCCCGCATTTAGATAATTTTATAAATTAAATATATTAAATATTAACAGAAATATATACTAGATTTACATGAAATATATTCCATTAAAAAATACGTCCTACAAATCACACACCAGGTAACTGTATATCATCATCCTATGTATATATGCACATAATATTCAATATGTTTTCTTTTAATTACTGATATGATCGCTTGATTGCTATGATGATAACGCTTATTTATTTTTTGATTTTTATCCCTGCTGTTGTGTCCAAGAACAAGTCAACCACAGGATGTGAAAAATGCCAAAAATAACAGATTCACACCACACAGTGTTCCACTTCCCTTTGCTTATTATTTCTCTCTAAAACGCAAACATGACCACAGTTACTGTTTGTCTTCCTACATGTAAAATCTACTGTGAAGCGCATGTGTAAGCTGAGAGCATGCAGTGCCTCAAATACCATTCGGCACTGCTCCTCAAATAGTTATCTCAGCGTATTGAGGTGCACCTCTTGCTCGATTAAGAAGGTGCTGCTCATATTTGGTGTTACACCACGTATACCGTGTGCGGTACCTTTCGTGCCTGTGGTGTTTCACTTTTTAATTCGTACACCAGCTAGTCCCGTCTCCAACCCAGTTACAGCCCCCCTCCATTTTACCCTGTGAATCACCCTAGCCGACTGTCCAATGAAGTTGCAAGGATGGCTTACGTATGAGAAATAAAGGGTTGAAAAAGAGGTCACTGCAGCTCTAATCCGAAAAAAAAGCGACATCCCAGCATGCAACGGAAAAGAAGCCTCGAGTGGATCGTTTTGACACGTTTAGTGCCGGGACACTACATTTCCTCTGTTGTTATTTTCTTTAATAGGGAGTGACATCTTCGTTTTAATGCTGTTTTTCACTGACGAATGTTACCTGCAAATGTGTACTTTTAATTATACTGTACCATTGCATTGCATTAAATGTTGATTGCCGAAGCACTGTATAAAAACCTAAACTATACATTTATTTACTGCATACATTGAGTCTAATGGAGTCATAACTCCCATATTTGTTGAAGTGTACCTGATCTCTGTCGAACAAACACATGAAATAATCAATAAATCAGATGGGGACTGTACTGGAGAGGATTAGAGGATTAAAACTGGGGCCAAACTTAAGAAAATCCTTGCTGTATTTATTTTGCGAATGCTGTCAACACTGCCACACCATGTAGAGCCTGCAATACTGTCAACTGGCCTTGAAATGCTAATGTTTGAATTTAGCCTGTGACCTTTTTACTCAGCATCTCATCACTATTCAGACGACTCTCTACCAGTATCACCACGTTGGACAACTATGAATGCCTCTAATTCATCAGCAGCATTCAGCCATTTTTCAAAAGGCATTTAATTCGCCCTGCGGAATGTGAAACAACTCTAAATTGTTGATTAGCGTTAATGTAATCTGCCATTGATGCCAGTTCTTATTGGTTTAGTTAACAGGAACAGACAGGCTCTCTTCGAAAATTAATGGAGGTAGTACTGCCAAGGAAATTAGCCTAGCTATGTCAAACATGTCTATGAAAACACACTGTGGATTTATCCCTTCATTAGTTTACCCATTCATTGTCATCAGCGCTCGGTTGACAGCCATGCTAACAACGCTGCTCCTCTAATTCTGTTGAGTGGATATTCTCGGATTCATCCCCGGCCATAAAATTATAGTAGCCTGTATTGTTGGGAGGAGATGAAATTTACTAGACGGATCATTTGGTTTTTCCAACCCCCTCCCCTCCCTTCGCTTCCCTTTCTATTGTGGTATTACAGTTTGTACTGTGCAAACACAGCAAACATTTTCTGGGAGGGTTGGTGTTGCTATGATGCAATAACAACCTCCTCCAGACTTGCATGCGAGTTGTTGTCGGGGTCAGCAGGATGATAGATGACTTTGATACAGCATTTCTTTTCTCTTTTTCTTTGAGGGCAACATAATGGGACAGAAACCACAGTAGAGGATGGTGAAGTGGGGTAGAATGAGATCACAGCATGCAGTCTTTAAAAAATGTCTAGCAGATTTGATTGCATTTCAATATGCGCTGCATTCCTTCAGCGCTCCATTGAGCGCTGGAGCCCACTCAGTTTAAAGTTGGCAAACACCGGTCAAGTTGATGTTTTAAGAAATTTTATTTTTGTTTTGATTTAATTTAGTAAATTACATATTTTACATTTGTATTCTGCATATCCCTTTTCAGCATTAATTTTCTCACAAAATACAAGCCAGCCTGACAGTTCAGGGCACACAGTATGATTGTTAATGTTTTGAAAATCCTGCCAAGTTTGGTAAAGATGCTTTCATATGTAAATCGAGCTGTTTCTGACCGGAATTGTTTTGTAAGGAATAGACGTGTGAGTGTAACATGGAAGCATTATGTTTTTGTGGAAGAGTAACAAAAGACAGACGGAGGCGGGCTCTGAAATGGGATTAGATAAAGGTAAAATGAGCGACCGTATACAATCCAGTGTTTTCTCAGTCCACCCAATGAGCAGATGCAGGGAGCTGGCCTGCACGCCAACCGCCACAGTAGGCTTTCACAAAGAATCTGTCTCTATTCAAGCCTTAATCCATGCTGCCGAGGGCCCAGGCATTGTCACTTTGCATGCAAAATTTCAATTAGTGCTGGTACCAGTTGTTTCACTTGAAGGGGGGTGTCACATTTCAGAGACATCTATGGCTACCTTTAGGGTGAGATTAAGGCAGAAGTGTCACTGCTTTGCTTAAGAAAATTTTGCATTGCATAAGGTAACTGACACTGGTACTGAGCTGCTTTGCTTTGTCACGGCCACTGTATGTATCGGACCTTGTTCCGATTACTACATGTTTGAAGTAATACATATAGAATGTTTATTATCTCAAAGTAAATTAGGAAAAAATGGATGATTTGTTAAAACCTTCACATGTGGGATTGCAGTGTTGTAGAGTTCTGTCCCAGCTGGCTCTGCTAGCAAAATAGTTGCGTATGTTGCTCCTGGCTGCAGCTCGTTCGACCAATTCAACTAAGGATTCAGTTCAGGACATGATAGACTGTTCGACACTGTTTCCATGCTTTCAGCTGTTTGACTCTGACTGCGGTTCACTGACATGAGCCAACTCTTCATTCTCTCCTGCCTGGTTCCAATCCACACATATTTGCCCTCCGGAGGTGATGCTGAAATAATGGCATTTTAGCTTGTGGAACATGTTTGACAAAAGAACTGAAGTTTAAGAAATTTAATAGTGGATTCAAAAGGGTATTAAAGTATTATTCATATGGCTTCGGGATGTCATGTGTGGCCCTGGAAAGTCTTTCGACAAACCATGTTGGTACTGTTAGAGTGTGCTGCTCTTTATC